TTCCACAGACATGTACGGCCTGTGATTCAGGTGGTCTGGCCCAAAGGAAGGAACCCTTTCTCACTTTGCAAAAAAATGACCCCAGAAGGGAGGGGCATTGGCAGGAAGGCGGGAGATGGGGCTCGAGCCCTGCACAGGGTGTGCATTTGGGCGAGGCTCTCACCCTCTCTGGCCTCTAGGCCCAGGGTCCCCAGCAGTGGAGATGCAGTGGTGGATGGCCGATTCCCAAGGGCTGTCCCGGCCCTGACAGCGTCTGCGTGCGAGGTTCCTTCTCTGACGAGGGCCACTGTTCTGACATCACTGTCACCTTCCTGTCGGGGCCTCCTCTCAGTCTTGCAGCTCTTAGCTTCTGAGAGACAGACCCGGAGAAACAGGCTCCCCGGGGACCTGGCGCCTCCAAGCCCAGACATGCTTCTGCTGCTGTTGGTCCTGCTCTGGGGGACGGAGGGGGCCGAGGGCCAGAGGGGGGCCGGGAGGGGGCCACAGGGGGATTACTGGCTGCAAGTGCAGGATGCAAAGGGGCAGGAGGGCCTGTGTGTGCCCCGCAGATGCTTCTCTCCCCGGGAAGGCTGGTCTGAGTCTACCCCAGCGCTCGGCTACTGGTTCCGGAAAGGGGCCGGTGTACAACAGGATGTTCTAGTGGCCACAAACAACCCAGATGGAAAAGTGCGGCAGGAGTCCCAGGGCCGATTCCGCCTCCTCGGAAACCCCCAGGGCTACGACTGCTCCCTGGACATCAGAGACGTACGGAGAGGGGACTCGGGGACATACGTCTTTAGGGTGGAGAGGGGGCCTTCTGTGAGATATACTTAGACACGGGACCAGCTCTCCGTGCGTGTGACAGGTAAGGAGCAGATTGTGGGAGAGGCCACAGGGGAAGGTTGGGGGTGCCAGGACAACCCGGGAGGGGCTGGGGGTAATGCATGTTGGGGCTCAGAGGCAGGGGCTGGACCGAAGCTTGAGGTTTCTCTCAAGGCTGCACCTCGGACCCTCCTCCTGATCCCCGTGTCTCCCCATCTCCCCCTAGCCCTGACCCAGACACCTGACATCCTTATCTCGGGGACCCTGGAGTCTGGACGCCCCAGTAACCTGACCTGCTCTGTGCCCTGGGCCTGTGCGTGGGGCGTGCCCCCCATCTTCTCCTGGACGTCAGCGGCCCTCGCCTCCCTGGACCCCAAGACCCACCTCTCCTCTGTGCTCACCCTCACCCCACGGCTCCAGGACCACGGCACCGACCTCACCTGTCAGGTGACCTTGCCTGGGACCGGAGTGACCACAATGAGGACCATTCACCTCAACGTGTCCTGGGAGAACCGGGCCAGGGCCACCCGGATCCCTGATGGGGTCCTGAGGGCAGTTGGCTGGGGGGTCAGGGCCTGGGACCTTGGGTGTCGGGTCCTGGAATGTGGGCTGGGAGGGGGTCAGGAGGATCTCCACCCTCTTCCCATTCCTGCAGCTCCCGTGGGGACTGAGGGCCAATGTCCACCAGCCCTCTCCGTTGACGCCAGTCTGCCATGTCTTTCTGTCCCAGATTCTCCGTGGAACTTGACCGTCACTGTCTTCCAAGAAAACGGCACAGGTAGGATAGGGGCCCTACTAGGGTGCAGGGAGCAAGGGCAGGGCCGGGTCCCTCTTGTGGGTCCCCCAGGGGCCCTCCCCCTCCCCGGCCCCCGTGGCCCTGTGAGCAGCTGTCCCCTTCGGCCCCTCCCTCCCCCACTTCTGCCCTCCCCCCCGTTATCAGGAGAGCAAGTACAGGGCGACACTCGCCCGCAGAACTGCCCCTTATCGTGCACCTCCGGACGC